CCACAAACTCTTTGGCCCGGCCTGCTCAGGACAGTTCTATTAACATTTCAATTAACTTGCAAAACAGACCTTCTAGAATGTATTTTATATGTAGAAAGGGATACAAGCAATAAAGCTAAGAGTAATTGCTTCATTGTGGCCCTTCCTTTAAGTTGACATCAAGGGCACCCACATACATGTTCTATGCTCAGCCTGCTTATGAGTCTATACAGTCAATCCAGGATGGAAACCCAAGAGGAAAATCAGAGAGGCAGAGAGCCTAAGTTTCCTGCCTGCCATCACTGCAATAACACCAGTGCCAATACTCTATTTAGGCTTTTCCACTGAACTAGGATATTATGAAATTCTACCCGCTGCAGAATGAAATTCTCTGTCTCCTTGTAAGAGGTATATTCATTTCAGCACTTTGTTATTTAGTACCTGTTGCAGTTAGAAATTTCCTGTTGCAGAGCTATTTTGGAGTTTTATATGCAATACTAATTTACTGGCTTGGTAAGCTGTATGGCCATTTTTTTTATTAAAATGTGATGTATAAAGTAAGTTACATTTTAATAAAAAGCATTTCAGCTTACAGCTTTTTATAGAAGCTGCCATTCTAATGTGGAAATGGAAGTTTCTAAGTGCAAGTCTCCACAGCATTAATCAAAATCCCTGAAGTCCATCATTACTTAGAACACTACATCAGATTCCTCCCAGCAAAAGAGCCATGAACTGTAAAGACAATTAACACTAAATCCTTGCCCCAGCCATCACCAAGGGCTCTGTCTACAGTGACACAGCTACTATTCTACTGTCTGGTGTGAGGGGCAGGATACAGTCATCCAGCGTGAGGGAACTATTGCTCTCTAGGAATCACAGCAAACCAGTGTGCCTGAAAATGGAGGCAGGTGGGGGCATGAAACTGGAATGAGCTGATGAACCGGCCATTTCTCTCATGTGGGAGGTCAACACCTGCTGAAATGGTAGACAAGTGCTGGAGCATGAGTGGCAGCCATAGAGAGGCACCTCAGCTGTTCTGGCTGGTTCCCTTCTCATGCAGGTCTTTGTGGATTTTTTGTGTACACAAATTAGCTACTCAAAAGCGGTGCTGCTTGAGGGTTGGATCTTGAACCTCTCAGAGTAAGTGGTTACTTAAATAATTTGCAGCCCTTGCCAAAGGACAATGGCTCACTAGCGATACAGAGTGCTTTCAAGGACTCAGGATGGGAGTCCCTCCCTGTTGTGGGAGGGAAGATATTTGTTTCATAGTCCTAATAAACCTGCGGGGAAGCTCCTGTTTCTACCACCAGAAGCAACGAATATAGGGTTGTTTAATGTGGAAGTTGATGCTATTAGAAAAACACAGATAATTTAGAAATGTCTGAGCTATAGAAGTCAAAACTGAAGTAGTTATGAAAACCTGTTTAATTCCATATGGCAGGTGTATGGGGGAAGGCACAGAAGAATCTATGCCTGCTAGATAGAAGGTGAAAATCTTCAGATAGTTTTCCCCCCTCCCAGTTTTTAAAAGCCTTTAAACTTTTGGAAAACTTTTGGAATCCACAGACAACTACATCCTAGATAACACAAGGCTTTCTAGAACATAGCTGACATCTTGACCTGAACCAGGAAGCAAAGAGGAAATTTGTGAACTTGTTTATATACTTTTCATTTCAGACAAAAACCTTTTGCTTCAGGAACTGATGTCAAGGGAAATTTGCCTGGGTTTGTTTTTAGTGACAAGCTGGCCTTTCAAGTTCAGGTTGGCTGAAGGAATCAGAAAGTGACAAAATCAGCTGGGTTGGATTTAAAGTTTACTTCCAACACATGCAAAAGGCAGAGTGATACCATGCAAAAGGAGGTGTGGTTTGGAGTTAGTTCCATTGCAAAGTTTATGGATTCATAAACACAAAGCTCAACTGGAGGGTTGCACATTCAAGTTGATTAGACTGTTCAGTTCCATGAAGCTGTACTTGTCAGATCACAGACAGCAAATTTCATTTGGAAAGAACAAGACAAGGATAGAGCAAACTGCAAGGATAGGATTGTAATAGAATAGTTGATGAAGCAATTAACAGATAAGCAAAAGCTTATTGGTTAATGCTATTGACTACCTGCATTTCCTGCCCCTCTTGCCCCCACCAGTAAATTTTTTAGCAGGCTGGCCAGCAGCCCAGCTCAGTCCTGGCTTGCATCGGGTTCAGGACCTATCCCTCCTGCAGGTCTGCATTTAAAGTATATTAGGAGCCAGGCCAGCAGGGAGCCCGGCTCAGTTCCAGCTTGCACCGGGGGTCTGGGAGCTCAGACCACCACCCTCCCAGACAGGGGGGGCTGCCACCCTCCTCTGCTGCCTCTTTATGGGTATGTCTACACTACCACCCTAGTTCGAACTAGGGTGGTAGTGTAGACATACCCTATCAGAGGCAATAGCTCAGGATGACAGACAGCTGGTCTATGTGGGGAGCAGGTTTTTAAACTGCTCCCCTCAAAGACCAGCTCCTGCCTGGCATCCCATGCTGCTGTCTAGACTTTAGTAAAGCATTTGATACAGTCTCACATGATATTCTTATCAATAAACTAGGCAAATACAACTTAGATGGGGCTACTATAAGGTGGGTGCATAATTGGCTCACAATCCTGCTGGAAAGCTGTGACAAGTGGGGTTCTGCAGGAGTCTGTTTTGGGACCTATTCTCTTCAATATCTTCATCAACGATTTAGATATTGGCATAAAGAGTACGCTTCTAAAGTTTTCAGATGATACCAAGCTGGGAGGGGTTGCAACTGATTTGGAAAATAGGGTCATAATTCAAAATGATCTGGACAAACTGGAGAAATGGTCTGAGGTAAACAGGATGAAGTTTAATAAGGACAAATGCAAAGTGCTCCACTTAGGAAGGAACAATCAGTGTCACACATACAGAATGGGAAACGACTGTCTAGGAAGGAGTATGGCAGAAAGAGATCCAGGGGTTATAGTGGACCACAAGCTATATATGAGTCAACAGTGTGACGCTGTTGCAAAAAAAGCAAACATGATTCTAGGATGCATTAACAGGTGTGTTGTGAGCAAGACACAAGAAGTCATTCTTCTGCTCTACTCTTTGCTGATTAGACCTCAGTTGGAGTATTGTGTCCAGTTCTGGGCACCACATTTCAAGAAAGATGTGGCGAAATTGAGGAAGGCACAGAGAAGAGCAATGAGAATGATTAAAAGTCTAGAGAACATGACCTATGAAAGAAGACTGAAAGAATTGGGCTTGTTTAGTTTGGAAAAGAGAAGATTGAGAGGGGACATAATAGCGGTTTTCAGGAATCTAAATTTGTCACAAGGAGATGGGCGAAAACTTGTTCTTCCTAGCCTCTGAGGATAGAACAAGAAGCAATGGGCTTAAACTGCAGCAAGGGAGGTTTAGGTTGGACATTGGGAAAAAGTTCCTAACTTTCAGGATAGTCAAACACTGGAATAAATTGCCTAGGGAGGTTGTGGAACCTCCATCTCTGGAAATATTTAAGAGTAGGTTAGAAAAATGTCGATAAGGGATGGTCTAGTCCAGTGGTCCCCAACCTTTTGGGGATGCCGGGCACCCGGGGGCGGGTCCACTCATGCGCTGGGCACCCGGGGGTGGGGCCGCACTACTGGTGATGACACATTAGAAGGATAAGAATGAAACTGACTTTCAGATGAAACTGTATTATTAGTTCATGAACTGCACAAATGTGACCAGAAATCGCTTATATATGAAAAACATGTACTCTTTCGCTTCTCCAATTCGAGTCACTTTTCAGAGCAGAATTATACTTCATTCAGCAAGAATTTTTTTTAATAACCTAAAAATAATCTTGAGCATTTGAGGTACTAATTGTTTTTTTCCAGCAGCATCTGTATCTATGCAGAACACTCAGGAGCCCTATTTTACAGCAGACATAACACCACACAGGCTCACTATGGACTTTTCTGCTCTGGAACACTCAGAATAGTTCAGATTAATCAAGTAAAGCTATGAATTTAACCCATAATTTAAAGTGAATTAAACCCTTGTGTGTTTTACACTCTCTTTCAGAAGTAAAGTGGCCTCAGCTTGCTGTTGCTCAATCCTCCCAAAGGATACAGTTTAAGAAAATCCCACGCAGCAGCAGTGCAAAATACTCTCCTTTGAACGGTGAAGAGTGAAACTGTAATGCCTATTACACTTGTCTCCCATGTGTCTACCAATAATAGTGCTAATTAGAGTCAATCAGATATGGATGCCTGCTCAGTTGAAAATGGACTGACTAACTTTATATACTCTCAATATATGGTAACCAACTACTTTCATATATAAACACTATTAGCTGGTAATAACTTCCAATAACTATTCATCTAGGTTAGATTTCAGTGTGTGTGACCTAGAGGTAAAAAGCTCTGTACTTCTACTACCAACCCTTCAAGCCATTCAGATCCTCCAGTATTATAGATTTCTTTCCTGTAAATTCATAGTAAATGAATAAAGCTAGAATGGCTCCCATAACTCATGCACATTCGCTTTACAATTTAATCTAATTACCTCTGTTATTTTAGACATTTAACGAGAAGAGAACAGAAAAGAATCCACTGTTTGTTTTCCCTGCTGTTTCTTTTGAAAAATGTCATGTGGTGGGATAATTAGCCCACAGATGTATGTAAGCAATACAGTCTCCAGAGCTCTTTCAAATTGTCCATTTTGATCTCAAGCTGCTGAAAATGCACTAAATATTATGCAGTATTGACTTATTCATGTGCTCCCGACATATAGAATGAATAGAAACTAATACATGGCTTGTGTAAAATATAAAATGACATCTCCTCTCTGTTCAGAGTACCAGAGGCAGTTACAGCCTGCTTGGGCATAAGAAAAAGGCCGCAACAATCAAAAAGATAAGGAAGGGATCAAAATACAAAGATTCATTCACTGAAGTCCATGGCAAACTCCCATGGACCTAAACTAGAACAGTATCTAGCCCCCCTTTCTTGTGAAAGGAGCAATATAAAATGTAACTTACAGCTCAGTCACATCCTTCGGGATGCCTTTGGGTAGGATGCGCAGACCTTTGTTACTGCAGCGCACCACCGAGTCTACGCAAGTACACGGATCCGGACAACGAGGAGAGAGCAGACAGCTGCTTTCATCATTACCTGCAAAGAGAGAGAAAGAAAATGAGGGCCCTAATATTTGGGAAGGAACGCTACCATGCAGGCCAGGAGGGCTTGCTCCAGAGGTAACTGCTTGCATCTAGTACAAAATAGGGAGATCTATAAGTCTACAATGGTTGGGCTGTTTTTTGTCCCCTAATATTTAGTGTCACCTCAAAACCTCATACTGGATCACTGGTGTCAGGATCCAAATCTGCCCTGAAAAATAATGGCTAATGTTTTAAAGGGAAAGGATAGCAACGTTTTATCAAAAAGCTACCTAGCTTTTTGAAATTCTATGAATCTTTAACCATTAAATAGCCTTTTCTCAGGCACTCCAGAAATCCCCCATGTTAGCTGAAATGGAAAACTTTACCAAAGTATTAGCCTTAATCTTATCTCGACAGAAGACAATCGTGACCTACTTTATGCTTTACAATGAATCTTTTCTTTAAATAACTATCTAGCTTTATTTCCTCATGATGTCACTTCAATGTTAAGTGTCGACTTTTAATGTTGGCGTGGTACTTCATTTATCACTTTAATTTTAAACCTCGTTGTTGACAAGGATAACTAGGCAACAAACAAACAACAAACAAACAAACTGAGCTGCACTCCCAGAATTTCTGGCAATCCATCTGTGCATGCATAAAAATACCTAATACCCCTAAAAGTGAATTCAAACTTCCATAAACAAGAGATAAAATCTCATAATTGAATAACAATGGGGCTTGCATGGACGTAACTAAGTCTTTGAAGTTAAGAACATTAAAGCATGGATTCTCCCCAAAAACAACACGCTTCACAGAACATGAGGAAAATGCAAACTGCAGTATCAAGATGCACATGGAAGGAAACAGTTTGTGAAACATACTTGAGATGATCATGATAAGAATGCAAGCAAACTGAATGTCTTGAACTCTGAAATATTAAACTTAAATCATATAGCCATATTCCCATTAGATATTTTCATTTATTTAAGACCGATACAAAGACTAATTGAGGCCGAGATGATTTTCTTTCTTTCACAGGTCTGTCACATGTATCACGTTTAAACTAGACTGGAAGCCCTTCTAGAGGTCTGCAAAGTAATCGTAACAACTTTCACTCATGAGTGTGAGTATGTGAAAGGAGATGGTTTGCATTAAGCATGATGGAGGGAAAAAGAAGAAAGAAGAATGGAGGAAAACCCTTCATCATTATGGAAGAGCCTATGCCACAAAGATATGCATGAAACTTAACTAAATAGCCACAGGATCTTTTGCTGTAACTCCTGGTCTCCCCTGCTTACTTTCCCCTATTGTTTCTTATATTCACTCATGTGTCTTGTATTAAATTATTTGCTTATCCTGCAAATGATTAAGTGCAAGAGCAACTTTATGCACCTGGGCAGTCCCACTGAGCCAACGCTGATGAATTTGAAGTTGGTTACTCCACTCTCACCCTGTGCTATCACCCCCAAATCTTGCTGCACAGGGAGATAGAGGCTGATGTGCACAGAGAGCACAAACCTCTTCAGAGCCTCCTATCCCCACACAGAGCAGAACTGAAGTACTTCTGCAAAGGCCTTTGGAGCACAGACCATCATTTTGTTCTGTGTTTGTAAAGCATGTAGCATGATGACGTCCTGTTTCATGTACAAGGGTCCTAGCACTTGTCACAATACAAATGCAGCAACACCTGGGACCCTCCCTAGCAGAGAAGGAAGGGTCAAAAGTTGCCCCCAAATGATCACTGCCATTCATTACACTTCACTGATATTTTTTGGGTTAATTTTCTCTGACATTCCTATATTCCCATGATATAACTGATGAAACTCCAGAGCCCCTAGATCTTGTGGGTTCTCCTAGCAAGCCCCATTCCCACTGTCCTCA